GTGTGTGTGTGTGTGTGTGTGGTTTTTTTGGTTGATTTTTGTGTGTATGTGCAAGTGAGGGGAATTGTTTGATTTTTACGTTTTGTTTTGCCCTTTTTCAAATTGATACTACTCAACTAATACTCAGAAAATCCAATCATATTTGTGTCTATACTCTAGTCATTTGCAAAACCTGACCCAAACCACTATCTCAGAATAATTCTTTTGAGATTGTTTATATTAAGGCCAAGATCAATGTAATGGACATGCAGCCAAGGCAGCAACATAAGATCCCACCCTCAGAAGCTCTGTGGACACTTTCTTGAAATTCGTAATAATTTTACCTTTGAATTGGTGTTGTGTAGCGAAGTCTGACAGGACAGTGGAGCATGAGCCAGGGGCTTTCAGATCCAGCTCACACGCAGGCCTGCCTGGGACGTACCCTCAGGATATGTTTTCAGCTCCCTGGCCTCTACCTTGCAGTCACTGCCATGCTTCACCCCTGGTGGGAGCCTGGGTGTGGGTGCAGGGTGGCTTGGAGTCAGGTGTGTATGCTCTGCTTGCTAAGTCATGGAATGTGTACCTGAGCATCTGTGAGGGTCTCTACTCCCCTCAAATATTCCTGTGCCCAAGGGCACAAAACATTAAGTAGAAAATAAAAACTACCATGCATGATGAGATAAGGTGGGGGGAAGTGGGTGGTACAACAAGGCTGCAACAGAAATGAAAATGTCTGTAATATTTTTTTGTTCTTTTTTTAAAAAATCTTACTACACTTTAAGTTCTGAGATACATGTGCAGAACGTGCAGGTTTGTTACATAGGTATACACTACGTGCCATGGTGGTTTGCTGCACCCATCAACCTGTCATCTACATTAGGTATTACTCCTAATGTTATTTCTCCCCTACCCCCTTACCCCACAACAGGCCCTGGTGTGTGATGTTCCCTCCCTGTGTCCACGTGTTCTCATTGTTCAACTCCCATTTATGAGTGAGAACATGCGGTGGTGTTTGGTTTTTCTGTTCTTGTGTTAGTTTGCTGAGAATGATGGTTTCTAGCTTCCTCCATGTTCCTGCAAAGGACATGAACCCTGAATGCACCCAATCTCATCTTAATACTTTTTGAACAAGGGGTTTCACATTTTTATTTTGAACTGGCCCCCATAAATTATGGAATTGATTATGATTTAATATTCATTTCCTAAAAAACTGGAAAGCATCTCACATCCATTATCCGGTCCAATGCTACTCAGACATTGCTTAAAGAAGAGTACACAACACACTTTTCAAGGAGACAGAGTGAGAGTCACCAATACTCAAAAGAGATCAGAGAGAAGCCACAATTTTCAGTCCCCAAAAAGGAAAATCTCAACGTCCTTCCAAAGGTGACTAGGACACACAGTCCTGCAATCTCAGGGCTCTGAAGAACACAATTCGAAAATCAGCCAACTACTCCAAATGCTTCATTTGAGAGAAGAGAAGATCTGGACTCAGAAATTAAGTTCTCCTCCAGCTTTACAGAATTTTTCATGGTCAAATCTTAATTAGAATTCAGAATTCTGGATTTTCAGTCCCAGTAATTTTTTCCTTCACAACATCCCTTTGCAGCTGGGGCAATGGCTCACATGTGTAGTTCCAGCACTTTGGGAGGGTGAGGCAGGCGGATCACTTGAGGTCTGGAGTTTAAGTCCAGCCTGGCCAATGTGGTGAAACCCTGTCGTTAATAAAAATACAAAAATTAGCCTGCTGTGGTGGCATGCACCTGCAATCCCAGCTACTCAAGAGACTGAGGCAGGAGAATCCCTTGAACCAGGAAGGGAGAGGTTGCAGTGAGCCGAGATTACATCACTGAACTCCCAGCCTGGGTGACAAAGTGAGACTCTGTCTCAAACAAACAAACAAACAAAACAAAACAAGAAAAACCCTTTACTTGCCTTTGCCAAAATGATTTCTTGCAGTTTTTGGAGAAACAAACCTGCTTTAAGCTGAAAGATGCCAAAGATGGCCATTTCATCAACTTGTTGGTATGGAAGACAAAGCATGCCTGGGTTACGCCCCATGCACAGAACAAAAGTTCCTGCTGTAGGTCTTCCCATTCACCCGTATTTGCCCATCTCTCTCACTACTTCTTTTCTTCTTCTTTCTTCTTTCTTTTCTTCTTTCTTCTTTCTTCTTTCTTCTTCTTCTTCTTCTTCCTCTTCCTCCTCTTCCTCCTCTTCTTCTTCTTCTTTTCTTCTTCTTCTTCCTCCTCCTCCTCCTCTTCCTCCTCTTCCACCCTCCTCCTCCTTCTCTCACTACTTTTCTTCTTCCTCTTCCTCTTCTTCTTCCATCCTCTTTCTCTTTCTCTTCCTCCTCCTCCTCTTTCTCTTCTTCTTCTTTCTTTCTTTCTTTTCTTTTTCTTCTTTTTTTTTTTTTTGAGACAGAGTCCTGCTCAGCCACCCAGGCTGGAGTACAATGGTACATTCTCCACTCACTGTAGCCTCCATCTCTCAGGTTCAAGAGATTGAGTCTCCTGAGTAGCTGGGATTATAGGCAGGTGCCACTACATCTGGCTAATTTTTTTGTATTTTTAGTAGAGATGGGGTTTCGCCATGTTGACCAGGCTGGTCTCAAACTCTTGAACTCATGTGATCTGCCTGCCTCAGACTCCCAAAGTGCCAGGATTACAGGCGTGAGCCACTGTGCCCAGCCCTCTCTCACTTCTTTCACCTTTTCATCGTGTACTTTCTGTATACTAGACACTGTGCTAAAAGCTATACATAGAATATCCTACTTAATTCTCACAAGTGGACAGCATCATGTTCCTTATTTTATACATGACAACATGGACTCTTAGAGTGGTTAGGTAAAGTTCACCAAGCTAGAAAGGCAAAGCAGGGATCTGAGCACAAATCAGGCTGACATCACAGTACAGCATACTTACCTTCTAGGCAAGCTGTCTAGATTACTGAAAGGAGACAAAATCAGGACTGCCTATTCCTGCACTTCCTAACCCTTTCAGCCAGCAGTCACGAGAGAGTTGAGGAATCTGATGTACCTCTTTTTCTCTCTCCTAAGCAGTAACTGAGTTCACTCATTGCAGCAGACTGCCTGGTTCACACATTTCCTGGATTCCAAATGGTGGGATGGAGATAACTACCCATGGGACCTCAAACATAGTCACTCAAGGTGTATGTTCCAAAGGGGGGCAAGCTATGATTTTTAATTACTCTGCAAGCTTTTGCGGCTGCAGCCCCAGCTGGAGTTTAGGAGTTGCCAGAGCCTGCTGCTGCCCTGGGCTGTTTGCCAGCAGCCACTCTTGGAAAGCTGACAAATTTTACCCATGAGTGGCAACTCTGTTGCAGCTTCTTATTTTGATCCATAACAACACAAGGATTTTGCTACAATTGATGTCTGGGAACACTGGATTCTGGGCACTAAGTTTGTTTACAGCCCTAAAAAAGGGAGGGGGTGAGTTTATAGACGTCATCCTTTTCACCAAGATTGCTCTTTTTCTGCCTCAAACAATTAAATTTTTGCTCTCACAGCCTCTAATTTCAATATCCAAGTATCACCTGTTAAAAAAATCAACTCAGGTTTGGAAATAACATTAGCCAAAAGCAATTTTACAAAGCGATTATGCTTGACTTCTGTATTTGATTAAGTATTCATTTTGGGTGGCTTTATTATTTTTGGATAAGTGTCTCAGCTTAATCAATGCTGGAAAAATTCTTCCCAGACACTGAAAGAGTAAAGTTTGCCTGATAAAATTTAAAATAATTACATTGTAGCCTAAATACTATTTAAAATATAATACATTTATGCATTAGAAACATTCAATTTATGTGGAGGGTAGGGGTTTTTTAATTTTAGAATTCATTTCAAATTTCTAGGGCCTCATAACTGCCCTGCCCTTAAAAGCTTTGACACAGCATTAAAAAATAATTATGGTATACCCTGCATTGTGTTCATGAATTTATTTTACAATATTTATTGTATGTTATTTCCCAAGCTTTGTTGTAAGTGCTAAGGATACAGTAATGAATTGACTTATTTAACATATAGTGTTTGGTTAGTTACTACCCTATTTAATTTCTGTTATCTGATTTGGCCTTTCTACTACACAAAAAGTTACATAACAAAGGGATCATCTCCATGTTACAAGTAAGATTATTTTTGATTAATATCAAATAGAAAATAAGGAACCAAACCAGAACTCAGACTACAGTGTTATTGGTTTTTTCTTCTTACAGTCTCTTTTCTTTCTTTCTTTCTTTCTTCTTTTTTTTTGAGACAAGAGTTTTGCCATTTCACCCATGTGGGAATGCAATGGCATGATCTTGTCTCACCACAACCCCCACCTCCAGAGTTTAAATTATTCTCCTGCCTCAGCCTCCCAAGTAGCTGAGATTACAGGTGCTCACCACCACACCCAGCTAATTTTTGTATTTTTTAGTAGAGACAAGGTTTCACCATGTTGGCCATTTTGGTCTTGAACCACTGACCTCGTGATCCACCCACCTGGGCCTCCCAAAGTGCTAGGATTACAGGCATGAGCCCCCGCACTCGGCCAGTCTCTTTTCATTATACAAAAACAACCTTATTGAGGGCAGGAAGGACCACACCTGGGGTGGTTGTTGTTTTCCATAATACCCAGTGCCTTGTCTATCTTAATGACTCAATGACACCACAATAAGACATAGCAGCTCATCAAAGCTACAACACAAGTCTGGTGTCCTAAAAATAAAGTGGGCTTGGGAATCAGGGCGCCACATTTAAATTTGCATGGTTACTAACTAGCAGGATGACCTGGAGTAAATCATCTGGCCAATTAGTAAATTTCATATTTCATACAATCAGATAGTCATGCCCACCTCACAGAATTACTGCACAGGAAGTTTTCTGCTGCTTAAGAAGAAAAGCATTATTAAATTTCAGTTGAATCTAAATATCAATTCCTCACTAACTTTCTATTGAAGCCTCTTCAGTTACTCTTGTGATCCATAGCAGTCACCCCCATCAACCTCCAAACCCATCAAAGATGACGGAGAGCTATGGAAAAGTTGTAAAGATAAGTGACAAGGTCAAAGCTGCTTTTAAAATTAATCTTCCCTCTTCATATTACATTTCCTTTATAGCTTTACTCATCTTGTTCTTAAATTCTTTTTCACAAGAGGTTGCCCTCCCACTTTTGACATACAAACTCTTGTTTTAGGCCTTTTATTCCATCCCAGTTCCCTTCTTTCTTGGTCCATCAGTCAGCTGTTCTGTTTCATAAACCATCATCTCTCTCACCCTTAAGGATTCTTCTTATAACTATAATTATGTTCAGAAAATCTTTATTTGAAAAACCTTTTTATGGCTTGTTTTAAGGTCCTGACTTGTATGATCCTGCAAAGTACCATTCTTTTTTTCTACTCTCTTTCTCTGACAAATTCCTTTGAATAGTCTGTTCTTATTGCCTTCTCTGAACAACTACCAGCTTCTTTTTAGAACCAGAGGTTGTCATTGGCCTCTGATACTAACAGGTAATGTTTCTGCAATATAAACCCCTAATTTTAGTCAGTGGACGGATTTGAGACTGATCTCCCAGCTCCTCAGCTGCAGCACCCTATTAAATCCTTCCTTGGCAATAATAATTATCTCCATGATTGGCTTTCTGTGCAGCGAGCAGTAGGACCTAGACTAAAGCCCTGGTGTTTTGGTAACACAACTTTGTGACTATATTTTGTTATATTTGCTCATTTATATATTAACAATCCAACCTATTGTAATTAAGCCATCAGTATTTACTTGTGAGCATCCTATGAGCTAGGGCGTGTGTTAGACATTGAATTGTTTTCAACATAGCTAGTTGTCCTTCTCTATTTGCTTTATTGCTTGTTCTGTTTCTGCAATGTAGATATAAACACAAAGCATTAGGGTTCAGTTTTTTTAATCTTAATAATTTTTTTGGCCTTCACATCTTCAGATGGCATCTGCCCTTAAACAACTTAGTTCTATATCTATATTGAGAGTTCCAAGCTTAGTCCAATATCACATTTTAAAATGTTTGTGGGTTACTTATATTTAAATATCTAAATAGTACCTAAAAATTGGCACATATGAGAATAGCTTGTTAACTCCTTTGTTTCTTCATATTTTTCTACTAAGAAAGATACGTCTCATCCTTCTTTGTATTAAACCATCTTTAATTTTTATTGTATCTTGTATTCTCTAAATTACATTTCTTTTCTTTTTTTTTTTTTTTTTTTTTTTTTTTTTTTTTTTTTTTTTTTTTTTTTTTTTTTTTTGAGACGGAGTTTCGCTCTTGTTACCCAGGCTGGAGTGCAATGGCGCGATCTCGGCTCACCGCAGCCTCCGCCTCCTGGGTTCAGGCAATTCTCCTGCCTCAGCCTCCTGAGTAGCTGGGATTATAGGCACGCGCCACCATGCCCAGCTAATTTTTGTATTTTTAGTAGAGATGGGGTTTCACCATGTTGACCAGGATGGTCTCGATCTCTTGACCTCATGATCCACCCGCCTCGGCCTCCCAAAGTGCTGGGATTACAGGCGTGAGCCACCGCGCCTGGCCCAATTACATTTCTTTAGCTTTCATTTTCAATCTCTTCTGCTTTGGTAATTTTCATGAGGAAATAGCAGTAGTTAACAACTTTTGAATACTTATTATGTGCTTGGCCCTGTGCTTGAAGATTTACATATGATGTTTCATGATGTTTTACTTAATCCCCATATAAGGACATTCTGAAAAGAGGACAATTACTGTTTCTATTACACACACATGCACTCAGAGTCCATCTGTTTTCTCTTTAACAATATTATATATTTATGCTACTATCAATCATTGTGATATGGTTTGGTGGTATCCCCAACCAAATCTCATCTTCAGTTGTAGTCCCCATAATCCCCAAGTGTCACAGGAAGGACCCACTGGGAGGTAGTTTAATCATGGGGGCGATTATGCTCATGCTGTTCTCGTGACAGTGAGTGAGTTCTCATGAGATCTGATGGTTTTATAACGGGCTTTTCCCTCCTTTTCTTGGCACTGCTCCTTGCTGCCACCCTGTGAAGAAGAGTTTGCTTACTTCCCCTTTTGCCATGATTTGTAAGTTTCCTGAGGCATCTCCAGCCTGGTGAAATCGTGAGTCAATTAAGCCTCTTTGCTTTGTAAATTACCCAGTGTCGAGTGTGTCTTTATTAGCAGCTTGAGAATGGACTAATACATCTTGTTTTTCTAATTTGTTGCAATTTCTTGGAAGGAAAACATATCTGGCCTATGTTAACACATGCATATCTGGCCTATGTTAACACATGAGATTACTGGAACACTGAGAAATGAGCATGTTTTTTCTAAAATCTTCCTAGTCCAAAGTCAAGAAAACAGTTAAAAATGTTACTAAATCATCTGGGGATTAGTCTAGGTCCTGCTGCTCTCTGCACAGAAAGCCAATGACTGAGATGATGAATATTGCCAAGGAAGAAGGCTTTAATTGGGTACTGCAACCAAGGAGATGAATGATAAGTCTCAAATCCATCTTCCTGACCACTAAAACTAGGAGTCTGTGTAGCAGGGAAGAAATGTAACAATGTGTAAGAACACAGAAACTAGGATGGGGCAAAGAAGCAATTATGATGAATGAGGGTCTGGCATCTCATTGTCTGGATGTGGTGACCTGGTGAGTTTCAGCTCTTTGAAACTTGTTTTGAGAGGCCTGAAGGTCACTTCCTGAGGAAGGAACTCAGATAAAACAAATCTAAGGTTCAAGCTTTAAGACCAGAAGGGTCAATTCCTGTTTATCCAAAAACAACTGTTTATGAGACACTATTGGGTCTGTTTCAAAAGCATTGTATTTTGGAAGTTGCAAATAATAAAATATGACTAATTTCAAGCTACTATTATTATACTGTTTAATGTATTCAAAGTCCATCTTGTAATTGCCATTTGATAATAAACAAACGAATATCTCCTAAAGCAGAATCTCAGTTCTCTTTTTAAACCACTTACTCAAGTGTAATGGAGATAAAAAGCTGTAGATATGTATACCATTTGCAAGTCCCAACGCATTTTGAAATTAGTATGCTTATAAAAATAGCCCTGTGCCAATCTTTTTATTTCACAGATGAAACTCAAATCTGACAGGTTAATGTCTTGACAAATAAGTCAAAGGTAGTTTGTGAGAACTCAGGGCTTCTTTAATCTCCCTGCTCTCAGTAATAGTCACAATCTTGAAAAATGAATGGCAAGTTTCACTGGTAAACTAATTTTAGCCAATCATAAAGCTGATTATATTTTCCTTTCTGGAAGAGGATCAGTTCCACCTTCTGCTTATTTTCTTGCTTTGGATTTAATGTAACTGTATCTCTCAACACTGCTATTATATACTGATATCTGACAAATGTGGACCTTTTCAATGATTAGAAACAAGATAGTGATGCCCAGAGTAGTGGCTCACAGTGGGCCACAAATTTGTCCCCATACACACTATGTTATTCTATAAGAGTCTGTTTCTTAGAGCCTAAGCAGGTTCCATGTGCTATATATTAAGCTAAGATGCTTTATTTGGAAAAGTTTTGAGGAATCATTGAAGGATTTTAAATAAGCGTTGGCATGATCAGTAGGTGTTTTGTTGTATAACACACTCTATAGCAGCATGAATGAAGTAAGGATTAGCAAGACCTTGAGAAGCTTACACAGTTGATGGATTCTTGGTATAGCTGGCCTCTTCTGCCTGTTGCATATATGCCATGTTTGCTAATGGTATGCATTCACAATTCTATTCTGGAGATTAGGGATCCTTCCTAAATACTGTGTTGTTCCCTCCCAATCTAGCTAGAGCCAAGATGTTCCTGTGTGAAGAAGCTCTTCTGCCCCCTTCTTATACCTATTCTCTGATCTGCTTCCCATCTTGGTCATGGCCAGACTAGTGCAGCAGAAATTTAATTATTTTGTACTCCCAAATTTAGTCCACCTATTTTTCATGCTTACTATTTTATACAGTGATCAATTTAGATAAAACTAATAGAACCTCAGCCAGGTGTGGTGGCTCATGCCTGTAATTTCAGCACTTTGGGGGGCCAAGGTGGGCAGATCAGATCATCTGAGGTCAGGAAACCAGCCTGGTCAACATGGCAAAACCCTGTCTCTATTAAAAATACAAAAATTAGCCGTGTTTGGTAGTGGGTACCTGTAATCCCAGCTACTCGGAAGGCTGAGGCTGGAGAATCGCTTGAACCCAGGAGGCAGAAGTTACAGTGAGCTGAGATTGCACCATTGCACTCCAGCCTGGGCTATAAGAGCAAAACGCTATTTAAAAAAAAAAAGAAAGCAAGCAAGAAAAAAAAACCCAAATAGAACTTCATTATCAAGAGGATTGATAACAAAATATGAATAGATGTTACTCTGAAACTTATTGGAATCAATTCTTCTTTTCCTTCATTCCCAATAGTCTCTAGTATGTAGTCTGCTTTTGCGTCCTCTCCCTTCCGTCAACTCTCTTCTACCTCTCCCTTCCTTCTTGTTCTCTGTCTTGCCAGTTATTAATTTCTGGAGCGATTTTACTCTTGAATAAGTATGCAAGTTCTTTTCTAAAATTAGCCTTTGCCTTTCACTAATTCATGTCTTCATCAATCAGAGGCACATTCCCACCACAAACCTTCATTACTGTAGCTTAGAAATTATAATTTGGTAGTACATGTTTCACATGCAGGTCCGCATATGACCTTTACAAAGTAAACCAGCAGTAAAAAATCAAGACATTTAATCATAAAAGTGCAGGCTTTTAGTTTCTCTTTAATAAGCACCAATTCTGGCAACACCAAGCCTGAACTCCTACATAGCTTCTAACGACTGTAACCATGTAGCTACTATCCCAGCCTTAGACAGAGTGAGTATTATTCAGCACACCAAAGTCTCCATCCTTCTTTATTGCCTCCACAACAGTAAATCTAAGTGTCAGTTGGGATTTATCACAAGATTTACTCTGTTGATTTTCTTAGACTATAGAAATAAAGGCATACAAATTAGAAAGGAAGAAGGAAAATTATTCCTCTTTGAAGATGGCATGATTTTATATGT